AAAAGCTCGGCACCCCCGCTGGCAATTTCTGATTATCCATATCTTCTCCCTCAGACTTTCAACATTCACAACGCGCTCGAGAGTAGATCGAGGGGATACTAGTCATAAGACGCCAACAGGTACTCGAGCAAGGTACCGTACTCGAGTACTGTATGTGAATCGGGATCGAATGCAGCCCGACTGCCCATCCGCCCGTGGCGCGGCCCGGGATGTCGTGCCACGTTAGACAAGTAAAATATTTTATCCGAGCTTTGGGGCTATCCCTGAGTGATTAATACGGATCTGGCAACTGCCCGGCTTTTCCCGACGCTGGGATTAAGAAAGTTTCGTCTGCTGCTACGATTTCTCGTTCTCCATATCGTGTAACACCTGGCTGTGGTCTCCCCCCCCAAAAAAAACACCCCGACAAGAAAAGTATCGGAATCCGGCCATAACTAACCATTTCCGAAAAAAAACAATCCCTAGGCCAGGGAGAAGTCAACTGGGAAATAAATTTATGGTTTAATTTATCAATTCCGGTTGAGTGGATAAAGGAAACAATTTATGGTAATGTTTTGAGCTCCCTGTGATGTCGTTAAGGCTAGCAGATTAAAGTCAGCTGGTCTAGCACTGATATAAGTCACTAAGAAGTCCCATCTAGGGCCATCTCCGTACCAAACCCGGTTGAGCGATCCAATCAATCACCGAGTTCCCGGCAAGAAATCTCTTCTCCAGGCGTCGCACACCGGATGCATCGGGAAGTCTTATTTGTGCTTACGGTAGCGCAGATGTAGCCACAATCATGATGATCTTTTCTCGCTCTGTTCGGGTACAGTTGCTGAAAGCACAGTCCTTTGGCGGCCGCCGCACCGCTGGTTTCGGGGGCCAAAGTTTTGCGAGCGCAGCAGTCAGGCCTCGCCGTCTCGGCGGTGCGGATGCCACTCCGTGCCGTATGAGATGCAAAAAAATTTGTCCTGTTGCCAAGAACCGCTCGCTGTGCTGTACCGGATAGATTCTTTGGGATTTTGGTCGTCTCCCGACCTGGTCTCTCTGACAAATATTCATGTCAACTTACCGGGAATGCCTTTACACCAAACTGAATGACGTTTGTAAAAACAACTGTTATTGCATACCGCCAAAATCCAGCTTTTTTATTTGGACCTTGGTGTATCATGCAATAATAGTGGTGTTCACAAGTGCCGTTCAATCTCGAGTATCATAGTTTGAGGTTACACAAAGCGGAGCTACGGCCGACTCAATTGCTCGAGTGAGGGGAGGTGAAGGGTCGTGCCAACTCTTTATCTCGTCTCACATACCAAGTTGGCACGGGTTTCTCGAGCCTAGCTGTATCGCATTTGCATTAATGGGGTGCTCGTTGCGACTTGAGCCAGAAAATGTTTCCCAACCGATCGCCGTTTCACCCTGCACGATTATACCCTACTGCAACAGGGCTGCTGCCTAGTAAACCCCACTAAGAGTTTCTTGATCGCCACCAGCTTACTATCCACTATTCCACCAAGCATGCCACCCATGGCCACTGGGAGAAAATGAACACGGGACTCGCACAAAAGGGCTGCGTCGCGCGGGGAAATATCACAAATCATGACTTTTCGCGGTTCTGGGGGGTCCCCTTTGACGTGTTTTATGCAGTAGGGTTAATACGGGGTCCCCTCGCAATCTTCGATCTAACCATTGATGGGGGTCTCGACTTTCCACCTCGATCGCGAGGTTTCCGAAGGTTCCTACTGTGTTCGCACACGCAGACTCCGGGCCGCAGGCAATTTCCCATTCCTATGCGGGCCCTAAGCCACTGTGCAAACTGCAGGTTGGAGAGAGCGCGATTCCCCCCCATTTGCAATTAATTGTGTGGGTGGGAATCCTTTCCCGGTAGTGATCAGGATGCGACTGTTTCTTACTCACGATATGTCACTCGGTGCAGCGATCTTCATCGGGCGTTTGGAATTGGGGCAAAAGTTGGGGGTGGCAACTACATAGTAGCCCAGAGCAGAGAGGTGGAATTCCTAGGTGCCGGATCTGGTTCGCCATCTCCTCCACTATGTTGAATGTGCGCGGGTTAAGGTTGGCACCACCGCGGACGCATACCATAAAATCGCACAATCCTCTATCGGATAGGCAATAGAACCAAATAGTGATAGGTTTAGCCGGGCGAGTTAACGAAATTACGAACTCTAGTTACTGAGGATCAGAGGGCTGAAGGGAATAGTATATTGTGCGATTTTTACCATACCAACGACTCACAGCCCAAAGGGGAGGCAAAAGGTCTTCGGGAACCTCGTACATTGCCGCCCATTGCTGTTTACCACGATGCATGTTTTGGAAACAGCAGTGGCAAAACAATCACCGTGTTAGAGGTTTTCACCACTTGCATGTTTACCGCATGAGCCATAGCATGCCAGTGCCCCTCTCTAAATGTGGTGCATTGACCAGCAGATTCCACCTCAACACTCAAAACATCGTCAGCAGACCCCACCAAAGATACTGTTTAGAATTGAGTGGGGGGGTTTGGGCGTGCCAGGCTTCCCGTCTAAAGATATGGCAAACCCAGGTGGGGGGAACTAGGGTTCTTGGTTAATTATCACCGGAGAATATGTATGTGAATTTCCCTGGCAAGCCCAACGCACCACACCCGCACCGCACAGAAGCTCACTCACCTACTCGTGCCTGGTATCAATTTGCTTAGGCTGTTGGGAGAAAGACAAAGAAATGTAAAAAAGCAAAAAGCAACTTGGTCCGGCAACCGCTACTCTCCGTTTGCCCGCCTACATGCCAAGACACAAAACCTGAGTAATCATTCGTGCTATTACTACCTAACTCTGCCCGCACTCCCGAGCAGGAGTAAACTATCCTACCCCCGTATTGCCACCGACAGCACGCATCTCGAGCGAGGCTATCGATAAATAAATTAAGAACGCTTTTCCAACGGAGAGGTCAAAATAAGGTGTGGCTCAGGATGAGCACCCCCACCTCGGTAATTAATTCACCCGAATAGGTTGTTGGCGAAAGTCTCCGGTGGGACCGTGGGGTGGGAGGGGAGGAGCGACGCAAAGTCACCCAGCCACCCCACTACCGTAGCATGGGTGCGAATGCATCCAACCCATTTCAAGCCGATCTCGGAGAAGAAAGAAGAAAAGTTCTCGACGAGCGAGTGGGCTCTCCCTCTCTCTCTTTTTTTAATTTTTACGGGCCGGGTCGGCGGCGGCGGGGGTGGTGGCGGTGGGGGAAATATACACCAGACACTAAGATGTGATCGAAGCTTGACTGTGATAGGCTTTTCCAAGCTTACGGCGCTGTCGAGTGCGGTAAGGCTTAAGGCCAAAAGCTTTTGTGCTCTCATTTACATCCCAGCAGGTAATGGATTTTCATACAGCGATACCGAGTTTATGATAGGGCACGTAAGCATTCTCTCTCTGCCATCCCCATCCCCCATCCTTCATTCTCAGGGAGGGGATCCCGTGCGCGACACGGTACCGCAGGTAGACGCGAACAAAACAATGCCATTCCCGGGATTCACACTGGCTCGGCGCCCACGCGCGCCGGGACGGGGAGGTCAAGCGCAGACCACAGTAACTAGGATACCGTATCATATGAAATATTATACCAAGACCGCCGCCGCCCCCGCGAAATGGTAAAACAAAAACAGCCAATGCCGGTGGCTAGCCGTCTGCACACTAGTATAATAATAATAAACTCTACCAGTCTGGGGATCACGCAGGCAGCGGGGGGTTCGGCGTTTTGCCGCCGGGTGGGGGTGGGGAGGGAAGGAAAGGAAGAAAGTGAAAAAGTTGATGAGGGCGGAGATATTGAACGCAAGGTACTGTAAAGTACCCGTATGCCTGGGGTTTTTATTATTATTATTCTCGCCATGGTGAGGTTAAAAATTCCCCTTTCCATCTCATCGCATGACCGATCGAATTTTGAGCCTTGCTCTGGTGCAGAGAAAAAAGAGAAAGTGTAGGAGTAGACCACAGTATAGTACAGTAAAGCACATCTAGCGGTGAACCCGTTTTCCCCAAATTTGATCGTTCCCGCTTACTGTAGGTTTTACAGGGGGTTTTTCTCTCTCTCTCTTTAGCCTGCCGTCAACTAACGCTGAAGTGCTGTACTGTACTGAACTGTACTGTATATTATCGTACACCGCTATGTGAGCGGCTTCCGGGACCGGCAAGGACGGTATGGTACGATACTCGTACGATGCAGTAAACTGAGAACAATTTTCCAATAAAAGGTAAAAACATAACAACGCTTCACACGTAACGCTTTGCAATTCCTTTACGAGTGGGCGGGGAGTTAGGTAAGGTGCTGTACAGCATGATACCACCTTTTTACCACCTCGTGCAACGAAACGAAACAAAGCAAAGCAAAGTAAAGAAAAAGCGGTGAATAGGTAAATAATGATAATAATATTAATAATTAAAAATGGATAAAAAAGAGTTATTTGTGCCTTCTTTCCTTTCCTCTTTAGTGTCGCGTTTTGGGTCATTTTTGTTTGATCAATCCTTTCGGTCAAAAGTGATGGTGGAGCGCAGCAAGAGAGTCTTACAGCATCGCACGAGGCTATGTTGTAGTGCTAATGGTAGGTAGGTAAAACGCCAAGAATTGGTGTTCCCACATCTGATAGCCTGCCCACTGAACTCGTAGTTGTTATATCCCACGGGGCGGATACCGGCGAGAAGTGTAGCGCAGCGCATGTGCTTTACATTTGGATACGGTAGCACTTGGATACCAGGGTTCGTCCGTGAAGGTTCCCAATGAATGGTCGCTTCTAATATGCGGTCAAGTCTATCGATCGTATAGAGAAAAGAGCCGGCTGGGCTGGTAGAGGTTGGGATAGATTCGAAGGATAGTGAACGCTTTGCGATTTTTTATTTCCCGTTGGGGGGGGCACCAACATCTACTCGAGTATGGTATCATACCGTAGCTTGACCAATTACCCCCCCACCCGAGTGCTCGGAAAGGCATGTGACTTAACTACCTTGCAGTATGGTACAGTACTCGAGTACAGTACTAGTACCCAAACCACGCTGCGATACTGCACGGTTTTCCTTCCAATACCCGAGCACACCCCCCCATTCAGAAGCTGTAAGAGGGTCGTAAAAAATTGATAGCATAGCCTAGTCCCCTCCTCCAAACATTTCACCGTACCCACTGGTTATCAAAGATCCTTCGCTCGCCTCGGTACACGATACCAAACTTAAAAAAGTTTTTTTTTAAAAAAAGGACACGAGCCAACTCATTCCTATTTACCACACACACAAAAATCCTCCGAAAAAGCGCCAAGACCCATATCCGACTCAATTCCCGATCCACACAAGTTCCAAAGTGTCGGAGAGAAGTCCAAGCAGCCGTCGTCACGATGGAAAGGAACAAAGCGTCGTTCGGGATTCGCCCTGGCCGATGGAGCATTCTTCGGTGGGGTAATTTACTAGAGTACCGGTACTAGTACTCCCTATCATCCCTGGCGCCAACTTAGCCTCGTACAGCACCCGGCCTCAAAGCGGCTTAACGTCCGTCATCAATCTATCGTGGCAAATGTCATACCACGTGGCAGCCGGCTCCCCTGATTGGCCGGCTTTCCTCGTGGAGGAGATCTCCGGTTGTGTAGCCCTGGCTTGCGGGCAGGGGGGCATGCGGGGAGGGTGAGACCGATCCGGGGTTTCATTACTATATCGGGTTGTTCTCGTTATCAAGATGCTCTTGTTTTGGGCTCGTGGGTTGTTGGTGGGGGAGGGAGGGAGTGCTGTTTCTCTTCTAGTCTACTTACTCGCTAGCTTTTATGGGGACTGCAGCTGACATCATGCTTGTGGAGTGTACCGGGTTTCGGAATCCCCCTCATATCGTAAGGGGCTCTGGATAACTGGGGAGTACGAGTACTTGGCGTCTACCATAAATTTTGGATAAACCTAACCCGCCACTATTCTCTAAACGGCAGTTGCCATCACCAGAAAAGCATTTTCCAGAGGACTAGGACTTGGGAGAACTGATGGCCACCTTGAGAAGCATAGCGGCGGGTCGAGTTTGGCACTGGTAAGTCCTGTTGGATTCGGACTGACCTCGGCTGTTCTGGGTGGGAGGGCTCGTCTGGTGCCAGTATCGTACTACCGCTCCACTGCATAGGGTGGGATACTTGTGCGAGTGGGTGGGGTGGCAGCGAGGTCCAGGGTTAGTCCGTGAACACTCCAAATAAATGGTCATTTCCCAAGCCTGTCCGGGTATGATTACGGGGGAAACAATTCCGTGACCACCCTGCCACTCTAAATTGTTTGTCAGGGGGGTATCTGTGGCAGTTTGATCGACCGAGGTATTTCACGGTTTAACTCCCCCACCCAACGCTACCGGTATTTGTGCGTTGGCTGGTTCGATGGAGTGGGGGGTTTTTCCGGGGCAGGGGAGGTCCGGAGAAATTGTTGCGTTTGTGCTGTGATCAAGCTTGATGCGGTGGCGTTCTGTTGGATAGATGGGGGAGGGAGGGTGTGCATGAGGTGATTGTGAATGTATCATATCGTGAAGCGGGTATCGGAGGTTGTGGACAGGGAGCGGCACCGCGTGCCCATCGTCGAGCCCCCCCGGCAATCCAAATCGCATGGTATGATACCATGAAAACTTGAGTAGAAGATATGCGCTAGGACGTTGGAATACCCCCCCGAGGCCAAGGGGGGAACACCATAAACTCAATCCTCAGTTGAGACAAGACAAAAGAAATACATTCCGCCCCATTGTACTCGAGTACTCGAGCGCGATACTAGGAGAGGCAACTACGTCCTAGCACGTTCATCTTCCACCGCAAAAAAAACTCGTTAAACCCAGCACCGATATCGGGTACGGATCTTCCCGCTCAGGGACAAACGGGAAGGAATACTCGAGTGCTCGAGTACCGTAAACTCAGGGCAAACTATACCCGCCCCCAAACTTCTTAAAGTAGTTAGCAGCCCTAGCCCTGCGGCAGATGTGCTTTCCTGGGATAGCAGCCATCATACCATACTAAGAATACTCGAGGGATGGGGGGTCGAGTTACCCAGGATTTATGGGTGTTTTCTAGACGGGGTATGGCTGCATCCCATCACCTGGTATTCAAAGCTTGTTATGGTTTGATATGGCAATTCCGTTGAGATCTGCGATAACAGGCTTAACGAGTTTCTAGGGTACTCGAGATTTTGCGGTATGATATGGGGGTGCTTGTATGGTATGATCTGAAAGGGTTACATAATTTAGGGATTGGGATTGTTTGTTGCTGTTCTCGATACCGATACCGGTATTGCGTTATTATCATCCCAGGGTACTGTACCAGTAGTAATAGCAATGTCAAAAGGATCTCACACATAACCAGGCACCAGGCACCAGGCACTGTCCGCCCAAAGCCTTCCCCCCCTCCCTTCCTCCCGTAGCGTGGTCGGCTCGTGAAACTTAACCACCTCAGTGGGCGCACCCCTCCCCCCCTCTTGCAAATCTCTATCCATCCATCCATCCATCCTCTTACCACCACCAACGAGCGTAAGACGATACATGGTAAAGTTACAGTGTGCCAGCAAAACCCGGAAATCGTTTCTGCTGATCCCAACCCTCGTACGAGTACAGACGAGGGTATGTTTTCCAGACAATTTACCGTATTACAAACTTACTCGAGTACGAGTACAGACTATCCCACAACTCACGCCGCACACAGACACACGCGCGCACCATTGGTCACTCAAGATCTCAGATTCGATAGCGCAAACGGAATCGTGCCGCGATCTGATCTTACAATTGACGGAGGGAGGTAGGGAAAGAAATGGCGAGAGTGGAGGTTTGGCATGGCTGGTTGGGCTGTTAATCGCAGTGAGGGTAGGGAGGAAAGGAAAAGGGTCTTGTGATCAATTCTGGCTTGCTTTCTTTTCTTTTGGCAGTTGGGTAAGGTGAGTTTGGGAAGAGAAAGGGGTGTGGCATGTTACTCGAGGACTGATGCATGCGATGAATTTTCATAGGCCCATTGCCCCCTCTTGAGGAGGGAAAGAAAGAGAGCAAGCGAGAGGGTTTTTTTTTTCAGGGGTTTGTGCGGACGAATCAGTTTCCCTGCATAAAGTACTTGGGTGCCTCAGAAGCCACGGAAGCCAAAGCCACGCGATCATATGGAAGACTCGAGCATCTGGGGAAGCAAAAACTTTTCTCCTGTTCCCTTTCCATCCACGAGGGGTTGGTTTTACCTCATTGGTCCCACGGCTTTTCTGTTTCGTCGGGTGGGTAGAATCAGTTGGGTCTCCCACGCGATATTTAGGGTTTTCATTAAGTGCTCACTGGAGTACAGTATCGTACCGGTACTGTACCGTACAGATGCGGGTGAATTCGGCGAGTAGGCACGAATCACGAGAAGCAAAACTCGGCAACACATGTCCGAGTTTTCGCCGGGCAGGGTTTTGCAATGAGGTTTTGTGTGTGGTCTGGGGTACCTATATGGGGGGGGACAGGAAAAAAAAGAAGGAAAAAAAAGAAGGAGAAAAGAAAAAAAGGACATCATGGGAAACGGGCAGGGTAGGGTGGTACAATACAGTGCTTCTGCTGTATGTCTCAGTGAGAAGAAAATGGAAGGGCAAGCAATCAAGCAAGAAACGGTAACCAAACTCAGCCCCTACGGTTGCAGGCGTGATTTATCGGTTACATAAATTTTAACGGTGGCTTCTCTTTCTAAGGAAGAAGCAAGCAGGCAAGCAAACGTCATTCGCTAAGCAATTGCAAGGTTCGCAGGAAGCTTTTTTTCTCTCCCCCTTCTCTTCGTCTTGTTTATTTGGCAGGTGAACGAGCTTGACGCATTGATTTTTTTTTTCTTTTCTTTTCTCCCCCATCCCATCTGCTCGACACTGTACGCTGGTCTGGCCAATGATACGGAAGCCTATCGCCGGTGCGCACAAGTCGAGTAGAAGTGAAGGCGAAAAATGGGAATGGGAAGAAAAAGAAAGGAAGGGAAGCGCGGATATGGGGCTTTGTTATTGAACTACCGAGGGCGAAGAGCTGTGCTCGGGTTAGGAATAGCATAGATGCGCCTAACGTGAAGTGTGCTAGCTCACCAGAGCTAGCTACTGTACGATATGCTAGAACTAGTAATAGCAAGGCGAGAGATTGGATTGGATCTGAAATTTAGATTTGAGTTCGGGCAACGTGGAGGATTGGGTCCTCCTTGTGCCTACCTGCATGGGTACTTCGACACTCGGATTATTATACTTGCGGTTCCATATTGGTCCGCGCCGGGGAGAGGGCTTTGCCGTCCTTGCGCTGCGGGAAGTGGATCGGGGAGCGGGCGATGACAATGGGTGGAGGGGTGGATGGACCATGCAGTGCACATTATTGCGAATCAGACAGCGTAAAGATTTTAGTGTGCGCTATTCACACCACATTGCACGTTGAGAGTTAAAGCCTGCTCGGAAGCTGTTGGGAATGGAGAGGGCTTATATTGGCTTGAGCCTCCCACATCTCTTCCATTCGAACTCTAGACTTCTCATGCTTCGATAGCTTTGCCGATTAAACAGGATCATTACTTTGACCCGCCCTACGAGACCTACACATAAGAGTCCGGGACAGTCCAATACGAGGTGAATCAGGAAAACACTCCTGGCGTATACCAAACAAGCAAAACGGAATATAAAAACAAAACTACAATTAAAAATTGGGGACTTTTGAGTGTTCTATCTATATCATTACTCTTACAATTCATCTCAACCACCATCTACATCCTCCTTACCATCCATACCGCACCCGTTCCCCGTACCATAACACTCACCAGAATCTATCCGAGATACACAATAATTCCTTCACAACACCGATCTATACAATAGAAAACGGATAAAAAGAATCAGGTCGCACATGGAACCCGAAAACCGATCCTCATCCGCAATCAGCCCGCCACCAAGGTCAAGACCTCGCAGGTTCCTCTGCGAATACGAGGGCTGTGGGAAGGCATTTACTCGTTCCGAACACTTGCAGCGTCATGACCTGAACCATCGGCCCTCGCCGAACACCTGTGATAGGTGCCGTGCGCACTTTGCTAGGCCGGATTTATTGGGTAAGGGCTCTCCGATGTTGTGTTCCCTTCCCCCGGGAAGGGAGAGAAGGATGCGGGTTTGGAGTTCGAGTGACTGATGTGCGATTTTTTCCGGTGCGATTAGATAGACATAAGGAGCGACATGCGCAAAAGGATAGGGAAGCTGGCGGTGTGGGGTTGGGAGTCTTGGGCACCAGGAAGCGCTGCTGGAGAGACGACAACGGGAATATTACTACTAAGCGACCACCCGCTAGCCTTGCCTCGTTACCAAAGCCGCCTACTTCTCCGAAGAGCCAGAAAGGGAAGGGGCAAGAAGAGGGTGGCAGTGGTACCGATGAAGCGGGGGAAATGAGTGGTGAGGGTGCGTCCCCTCCTATCACCTTATCCACGTCTCTCCAATCTTTCTCCATCGCGTCCTCTGCCCGGCGGCAGCGCGATGACAAGGGTCGTGCTCTTAATAGAGCTCCTCCGGCCACAATAATAACCACAACAGAAGTGGGATCTTTCGATCAATTCCAGATTCAACAATTGGAATTGACTGAGTTGGACACGTTTGATAATGGGAACTTTCAACTACCTCCGCCGCCCCCTCCTCAAACATATCGGCTTGATCCATTGCTCTCGGGCGTTCCATCTTCTTCAATAGAGGCCTTGATCGCGAATGATCAGGGGCTTGACGGAGCGTTTAGACTGGACTCGGAGTCTAGCTTTGCAAGGCCCTTCACCGAGCTAGGGGGTTACACTAGGCCGTTTGGCGGATCAGATAGTCCGCCTGACGTCGACGGACAGTCTACTACGAGGTTTGATTTGAGCCAGGAACAGTGTGAGATGGAGATGAATCTTGAGTCTTCATTTGCTGCTGGCACTGAGGGTAGCCGCCAACTGGCGGCGGCCCCGATGAGCGATTCCACATTCCTCCCGTTCGATGTCAAGGCACCAACGAATAGGTTAGGGACCATGTCGCAGCAGTATCACGATTTCCCGGGCTTTGAGGGATTGAACGAAACCTCCGCGGTGGAGGATGAATCTCTTTACTTTGTCTCCGACACACGGTCGATGTCTCATGGCACTCCATCACGGGACCCGCAGGCCGCGGCGGCGACGGATATCACGCGACACTCACTTGGCTCCGACCCAACACATACTTTTCCTGCTTCACATACCCACCACTCAATTCCTGTTGCTAGCTCCCCTATAGCCAACCGCAATCATTTCCACGTGTGTACACCAACATCAGAATCACCATCACCAACCTTATCTACCCAACCGCTCCCGAAGATCGACGAGGTGGCCCGTGCAAAAGTCCTTTCACTTATAATACAGGCCACCACCGATGAAAATGGGGAGCGCCAATTTGGCCCGAACCACTCGCTCCTCTCGATCTCCGCCCTACAAGACTACCTAGACCTCTTCTTCTCCCGTTTCAACCATTCATACCCACTCCTTCATCGTCCATCATTCGACCCAAGCAATGTAAACACGCTGCTTCTAGTAAGCGTGCTCATGCTCGGTGCTACGTACGGTGGGAAGGACGCACACCAGATGGCGGTGAGGGTCCATGACTGGTTGAGAGGGTGCTTAGGTTTGGCTCCCGAGGTGTGGGGGAGGAAGTTAGGGACTAATTTGTACGAATCTGAGAGGGAGCGGATATGTAGACTGATTGTCATGCTATCCCCGAACTATGGGCTCTGCAAACGGTTTTGTTGATGGGAGTGTTTGGGGGGTCGAGGGCGGGTATGGGGTAGTATGACATGATGCATTTGTTCCATGGGTTATTGGTTGACGTGAATAACTCTTTCTCTTTTACCTATCATTTTGGGAGGCCACGAAAAATACAAAAACGCTAATCGCGTATCGGTTTTTTCTTTCCTTTTTTCTTTTTTTTTTTTTCGCAAAAAAAAATAGCTTATCAGAAGAAGCAATTGTCAAACCAGCATTCCATTGCACAATTCCCTCGAAAGCAAAGCCCCCGACAAAGAATGGAGCGAATGGATCATCGCAGAAGAGAATAAGCGGTTAGCAGTGCTAGCGTTCCTATCGTCCAGCACGCGGTGCCCTTCTTGCAATCACTCTGCCGGTAGGGATTCGCACTACGCCTGCCGCTGCCATACGATCCCCAACCTGGGAGCCAATTTGGCAGAAGCTTGGCGCAAGGCAGAACGCTCGCATCCGTCATTTTTGATGGTGGTAAAACTGTTCTTGAATACTGGGGAAACGCCTTCGTTGAGCAGCCTTTCGAGGCTCTCGATTTTGCACGGGCTGATGAGCGTAATGCGGGATATGAGGAGGAGGGACTAGATGTTTCTGGGTATGTCGCTCGAGTTTCCTCGATTTCAAACTTCCTCTTCCCTTCACTTGTGTAGGGCGTGCGTGGGCAGAGGCTGCTTTCTTGCTCCCTTGCGGGCCCGGGCGGCGTGAGCGATGGGGTGCAGGGTGCGCACATCCGGGAAAACCCTGGGGGGCGCAGAAGCTGTACGTGCAAAAAAAATATAGTAGCATTTCGCTAACGGATAAATTTCTCAAAAGGCTTGCAGCCACACCCGATCAACCACATCCTGGCAATCCCGTACCGCAACCGCCTACGGCGCCTGGAAGCTCAACTTCAGCTCCCACCAATGTCACTGACGTCTTCCTCGGGCTTCATCATGACCGAGACTGTGGGGTCAATACTAGCCCTCACCACGCTCCCACACCTGATCCTACACACGGACATCCTTTTCCTGCAATTCTGCGCCCACGGAATCCGGGGCAAGCCGGCGCTACGGACGGACTATGGTTCTTTGTGCGCTGCCCCCGCCGCCAAAGAAAAGCGCCTATCGCGCCGCGGCAATAACCTGCAACAATTCGTATACATTCAGAGAGTGCAAACGATTGAAGGCTTCAATTCACCTGGTGCCTGTTACCTCGCCACGTTCGTCTACTAGACCAGGTGCGGCGGTGTCGGGGGGTGTTGTCCGGGATGGATCGGGCGAAATGAGAGGCTTCGCTGGGGGTATACTCAAACGAGCACGAGATGGAAGCGAAGGCGGAGACGCGGGAGGTGATAGCAATAGCAGCGATAACAACTGCGTAGTGGTGGCGATGCTGATGGCGATAGCAAGAAGGGCGGGAATCTTGTGGGCATTGCACTGCACCTCGGTAGCATTCACTGGGCTCTTGTGGGGGAGGGAAGTGAAGTACATAGTGATCGATTGTGGGCAGGATGTTGAAGTAGAATGAGGAGGCGACGCGATGAAAACATGAGTCTGTATTGTTTGGAAATATTGTGCAGGTGGCAATGATTGAGATGGAGGTTTTACGTTTACGAGTGAGGTGGATTGAAGAGAAGAGATGAGTTGAGTATAGGAAGGATGATCCATAGAGTATAAAGCCAAAGCAGGTGGGTTTGTATAAAAAGGGATAAAGAGTGAGGTGAGCAACAAGCTTGGGAGCGGGGGGGAGGAAGGGAAACAAATGTAAAAGAGACGTTTTAACGCTATAGATTCCTCCAGTTTGAAGTAATCCATGTATGTTTAGCATTTAGCGCGCAATTACCGATGTATGTTCAACAATATTTACAGTCGCAGAACGAGTGAGGGGGGGTGGTGGTGAGCACTTGGATGTAGTATATTGATCTTTTATCATTCACTAAACAATTGAACGAAACAATATGAATGAAAGAAAGGATCAGAGAGAGTAAGTTACAATATTCACGCTCAAGGCCAGCATCCGTGCGGGAACGTGATTTGAGCCCGTCAAGAGCACTATGAGTTCCGACTGCCCCATGCCTAGTCTACCCGCATTACTCGAGCGCAGTAGCGTAGGCAACGCAACCAATCATCTATCTATCCTAAAGCCAGCTTACCATACCGTACTCGAGTAAGTATAATCATATCTTCGCTTGATAGCCTACTCACCCCTCTATTAGTCCCTCCGAATCAAACAAAATCACGTGGCATCAGACAGCGAGATATCACACGAGGCTGCCAATCCCACCCGAACGAAACAGCAGAAAAGACTCGCATAACACCGACATACATACAGACAGACGGACAGCCTCATATCGTAAGCGTGCTCAGGCGACTTGTTACACCGTGCGGTGAGTTAAATGCTGCTGCTCTAGCGAGTGAGCGAGTGAGCGAACGAGTTGCTGTGGGATTGGTTCTGACTGTGACTGCGCAGCAGCAGCAGGAAGGAAAGAAAAGGGAGGAAGGAATAAATTGCTGTCCCATACCATACGAGTAATTCACTGTGACTGGTAGGGCGGAGGTGGAAGGGTGGTGCCCTACATATCGCCATATAATCGGATAATTGGATTGTCGTTGGAGTCGCCTTGTCCGCTATGATATGCTGGTGCTTTTTTTCTTTCTTTTTCCCTTTCTTGTTGCATGCCAGGGCTGAGGCGCCTTTTTCACCGTTTTCCTCTTTTCTTTTTGATCCTTATTATGAGTAGGGTGTTTTCGGATGCGTAGTCTGATTTATTCGAGTTCGAGTTCGCGTCTCTCTGGTGCTGTAAATTTATGATATGCTGTGACTTTGAGGGGAGGAAGGAAGGTGTGCGGTTGGGATTGTGGGGAACGGAGGGGGTGGATTCTAAAAGTGTCCAAAAGTCTTGGCATAAGTTGGGCATGCCAAGATTTCTGGACAAACTTTGGGAATGAATGGACGAATGGTCTAGGGGTTATTGATCATCCTTGCCGACAGGAAAGCAAAGGAGCGGTGAGTGCTCGTAAGGGATGGGCAGTTTACGGTATGCTCCCGGTAGTTTGTTGACAGAATAAATTATCGCCCAACGGCTAGTCATTGCCAGCGGGCGAACAAAAGTGGAAACTCCTACCAGCGGAATAGGAAGGCGGAGAAGTGAAAGAGAGAGAGAGAGAGCAGGGAGGTTCGGGAAAGAATGGAACAGTATGAGCACTCGGTGAGTCCTTATAAATCGGAAACTGGTGGTGCGGCGGTCTATAATTATAGGGATCGTTTGATCGGACGATCATGTTTGTCTGGATAGAAATATTCGCACGGTACGATGCTACAGAATTCAAGAAGCTAACTTCGAAGTTGGGCCAAATCGGATAGGTGAGAATCAAGATTTTAGAGGGAATTTTCGTCACCTTGATGGGCTCGTGTAAAATCGGGTCTATCCACACTTTTTGTTCTTTGGATATCATGGCCAGTATGATAGTTGCTATGATACAGTGCCGGATTGTCTCCAAAGACCTCGATCGGTAGTTCCCAGGTTGGTTGGGACACCTTGCCACCAGAACAGGGATCTCGACCCTTATCGATAAGCCATCTCACCGCTCTTTTTTTTCTTGGCCGTCATAAACAGCAGCCAGCATCCCTCACCTTCGGTACCGTAAAGCATTTCATCATTTCATGGGCACGGTACCGGTACGATATCTTCTTACCCAACACCCCTGTAAGCCGCCAGCACTCGCTCGTATGGGGACGAGGGAATGGGGAAGATGGGCAAGACCCTGCCCCCACATTAATATCACATCTTTTTATTAATGTGTGGTTCAGTGAGCGGAAAGACAGTTCTTGTCGGTTGCAAGAGGAAAAACAATGGGTTCCGGCAGGTACTGTGCAGTACAGTACAGTACAGTACTGCACAAACAACCCTGAGTGCATACGGCACTGTACTTTACGTGTACTGTACCAAATGCCTCATCTCGCCAGTAACAAGATATCTCGAGCCGGTAATTAAAAATCAGCCTCGGTTCAATTGGTTTTCTGGAGCTTGCCTGGAAGTGGCGAGGGAGGGCCCTTCAGAATCTCTAAGGTTCGTGTTTTGGGGAAGGGTGGACACTAATGCGGATGGTCTGTCTTTCTAATTTCCGCGACTCTGTTGTCCCTCCATAAAGTTTGTTTATCGATCAACACCATAAGTTATCTTACTTTGTCACTGCAAGTTTCCAAATTTTTTCATCACCGCGCGAATGCGAAATTTACCGAAAGTACCTTGAATTGCTGTTTTCTTGAACCGGGAATTGTTGATCACAATACCCGTACCCATTTTTTTCCATCTAGTGTACGTGTACTCGTACTCGTACTTGTATGCTTCAATAAGGGAAAGACATTTCGAAAATAGGCAAAAAATGGTCATGGGTGGGGTGGTAAAGATAATCTATCGACAATGAATGGACTAGATTGTGGATTCTCTTTTACTCGAGTACTGTACTGTACCGGCAAGGTCTTTGGAAGTCGGTTGACGGTATGATCGCTGACTTGGTGAAACACGCTACGTACCCTTTCGGCACATCAATCCAAAAGTGGGGTTGTTTAGGCAATCAATTCGCCTTGTCTTCCGTAGCTGCAGTTTCGCGTCCGACGCAAACCGAGTTATCAGAGTACCGAATAAAGCCCTTCCACCCACCCACCTCTCCCGCTCATTCAGCCATTCCTTCCTTCCTTCCTTCCTTCGTTCACCTCGCCTTTACCCAGAGATCAACATTTTTCAAGATGGACCTCCCAACAACCTCCGCACCCGAGCCGACCGCGAACGAAGCGCTCTCGCCACTCGTGCGGAGCACGTACAAGAGCTCATGCCTGAACTTCTACCTGAACGGGACGAAAATCACGTTAACCTCTGTGGACCCCGAGGCCACATTGCTGGACTTTATCCGCTCACAGCGCAAGCTCAAGGGGACAAAGTTGGGATGTGGAGAGGGTGGATGTGGCGCTTGCACTGTTGTTGTGCAGGATGTACGGGCTGGTGGGAGGATTGAGCATTTGGCGATTAATGCCTGTTTGGCCCCGGTTTTGAGCGGTTCGATCCCCCCCCCCCTAATATCTCCCCATCCCGGGGTTAGGACTGATAATGTGTTATCTGTGTTAGTGGAGGGTAAACACATAATCACGATTGAGGCGCTCGGTACCAGTGCGAACCCGCATCCCCTACAAGAAAGAATTGCGAAGCTGCATGGCTCGCAGTGTGGATTTTGCACGCCTGGCATAGTGATGAGTCTATACGCGCTTCTACGGAACGCATATGATCCGCTGACACGACGGTACGTGCTTACCGAGGAGATGGTGGAGTTGGAGGGCGCGTTGGATGGTAACCTTTGCCGGTGCACCGGGTACAAGCCTATTCTTGACGCTGCGAAGAGTTTTGTCAGGGAGGATTTGGGCGGTGTGGTGTTTGAGGGGGACAAGACGAAAGTTGGGGGTGGAGGTGACTTGAATGGGAATTTTATCTCCGGGACCAGAGGTTTGGGAATCCAGAGTTGTGGACGGCCGGGCGGGTGCTGTAAGGACTCTCCCGCAGCTGGATTTCCGGCGGATGAGAGCTCTGGTGATGAGACGGGGAGCTCCGGCGAAACGAGCACCACAGAGGCGGTAGAAGTTCCTTTTTCCGGCGCTACTAATGGCACTCCGCGGAAAACTTGTGGGCGCGATGATTGTTGCCAATTGCCGCCCGGCGGGAGTAAGGCCGCCACCGATGTATCCAAGGCGAAATGCTCATTCCCGCAATTCAACTTCAAGTCCTACGAGCCGCATACTGAGATCATCTTCCCGCCGGCCTTGAGAAAGTACACCAAGCAGCCCATCTTCTACGGAAATGAGAATAAGGTCTGGTTCAGACCTACCACTATCGAGCAACTCATCGACCTCAAGCACGCGTACCCGTCCGCAAAAATAGTAGCCGGGAGCACTGAAGTGCAAGTCGAGGTCAAGTTCAGGCATGAGAAGTATACGGTATCGGTCTATGTCGGTGACATTGAGGGTCTCAAGGGCTTCTCCATCGATGAGGGTAAGGGCGAGGTCGTTATTGGTGGGAATATCTCCCTGACTGTTCTGGAAAAGGCGTGTTTGGAGGGATACAATAAATTGGGCAGGAGGGGGTTTGCCCTTGAGGCCATCAGGAAGCAGTTGAGGTATTTTGGGGGTAGACAAGTCTGTTCCCAACTTCTTTCCCCTGCTTGTTGTTGGCTAGTGCTGATGTGGTGTTAGATTCGGAATACTGCGACACCCGCCGGAAATATCGTTACTGCTTCGCCCATCTCAGATCTTAACCCTGTGCTTATTGCCTCTGGGGCTATTCTTACTGCGCGGTCAAGGGCTCGTGGGGAGTTTATGTTACCTATGAAGGAGTTCTTTCTCGCCTACCGGACGACAGCATTACCGGTGGATGCTATCATTACGAAATTGACTATTCCGTTGCCGGCAGAAGGTTCTCAGGAGGTTATCAAGGCTTACAAGCAGGCCAAGCGAAAGGATGATGATATTGCTATCGTCACTGCTGGGTTTTGGGTCGTTCTTGACGAGAGTGGTGTTGTTACAGATATCTCACTGGCCTACGGAGGGTATGTGTCTTCTCCTATAGCTAGTTAGTCTTTACTGACAAAAGTAGAATGGCCCCGAAAACTGTCGAGGCAAAGAACACTATGGGGGCACTCCTCGGCAGGAGGTGGTTTGACAATATTGTCCTCGAGGCCGCCATGGAGGCAATGGAAAAGGTATTCCTAACCCTACCGGGTATTAACTCACGATGGGTTAATAATCACTAGGACTTTCCGCTTGGCTTCGCCGTACCTGGTGGCATGCCGACCTATCGCAAAACACTCGCGTTCTCGTTCCTGTTCCGTTTCTGGCATGAGGTCGCTGCGGAATTGGAGCTTGGAACTAATGAACAACAAGTCGATCAAGGGATTATTGAGGAGATTCACCGCGGTGTCTCCTCTGGATCTAGAGACAATGACAACCCGTATGAGCAGAGGGTCGTAGGGAAGCAGATTCCCCACTTATCCGGCTTGAAGCAGGTTACTGGGGAAGCCGAGTACATTGACGACATGCCCACTATGGAAGGCCAGCTCTTCGGAGGTTTTGTATTTTCGAAGAAGGCTTATGCTAAGCTTGTCAAAGTCGATTTTACACCCGCGCTACAAGTGCCTGGTGTGCTTGGCTATGTTGACATCAATGACCTCGATGACGAGAGGAACATCTGGGGACCCATGGTGAAGGATGACCTGTTCTTCGCAAAGGACTTTGTTCACTCGCATGGCCAGCCGATTGGTATGGTGTATGCGGAGTCTGCGGCTATTGCACAGGCGGCCGCGCACTTGGTTGATGTTCAGTATGAGGAATTACCGCCGATCTTGACCATCTCTGAGGCCATTGCTGCGAAGTCCTTCTTCCCGTATGGATTGATGATCATCCGGGGAAAGCCCACTGCTGAAGCATTCAAGGATTGTGACTTTGTCTTTGAAGGGGTTTCTAGAATGGGTGGACAGGAGCACTTCTACCTCGAGACCAACGCCGCCGCGGTGATTCCGAGACCGGAAGATGGGGAGATGGAGGTTTGGTCTGGTACTCAGAGTGTCGCGGATATCCAGGCGTTGGTTGCACAGGTTACTGGTGTGCCCAGTTCTAGGATCGTGACAAAGGTAAAGAGGATGGGCGGTGCGTTTGGCGGTAAGGAGATTAGGCCGGCGCAGTTGGCTTGCATTCTTGCGGTTGCTGCGAAGAAGGTTGGACGGCCGGTTAGGTGTATGCTTAACCGTGATGAGGATATGTGTGTTTCTGTTTTTTTTTTTTTTTTTTTTTGCGTGGTTTTGTGAGTGACTGATGGTGACTATAGGATGAATACCGGCCAACGGAACCCCTTCCAGGCTCATTGGAAAGTTGGTG